GCATTCCCTGGATTCCTGGGTAGTGAATGCTCACTTGAGGTTCCTGACAACCATATTACACTGTATTTCCATTTTCCTCACCTATGTAATCTTCTCTGTGGCTATGAATAGGCAAAACAGATTGGCCCGAGATTCTGGAGACCAAACATGCTGCTCGTGCTTTGTCCAGGGACAGCAGGGAAAGCAGTGGTTTCCTGCACTGCATGGGCTCTCTGGCTGGAGCAAATGGGATGCCTTGTGTTCCAAGGGTTTCAGCCTGGGGAGGGACTGCTGACACCTCTCCCCAAAGCCCTTTGCTCCCTCTGTCCATCAATACCTCTGCATTTGAACACAAATCTCACCTTTGATCTTCCCCACCTTCCCAGTTCTCCCAGGCTGATCCTGAGGTGTGAAAGCTTTCTAAACCGAGTCCTCCCATCCCTCCCTTGTCCTGCCCCTCTCTCTCCCTGCTGTTCCTAGCAGCTCATCCCATCCTTGGGGATGCTCTCTGTCTGCCATGGTGCTGCCCCTTCCCGTGTGGGCTCTGCTCCCTTCCCTTCTGTGCCTGTCCCCTGCCCAGGTGCCCCCATTCCCTCCGTCTCTTCAGCCCCCCATGGCTCCAGAGCTGCTCCCATTCCCTCCATCTCTTCATCCTGCTGGGTTCCTGTCCTGTCCTCTTGCCCTGCCCGTGTCCTGATGCCCGCTCTGTCCCTGCCCGGGGTGGCCTCACCTCCCGTGTCACCCCGTGAGTGATGGCTTTGCAGCAAAGCTGGAACTCTCCTTCCTGCCAGATGAAACTCACAGCATTTTGTGGCAGCAAACTTGTGGTTTCTGTGGCCACAATTTAATGTTTCTACATCGGTTACTGGGGTGCTTCTTCTAAGCTACACTGCGGAAAGACAGTGGGTAGAGAAATGCTATTAATTGTGTCACTGTCTACAAATACATTGATAGAAAGTGGATCATGTCACACTTCCCTGTCTTTGTTACACACTTTAAGTCTTGTAACATTTGCTCTTACAAGACTTAAAAAATAATTGCATTGAAGAGTTAAATGTCCCTGTTGATATTAATCACGCTGGAAAACATGCAGCTGAGCAGTGAAAGGCTGACTTGAACCTTAACACGTGATTTATTTTGCTGGCTTCCCCAGATTTGAGGGTGTTTTGTGGACCAGGTTTACTAACTGCATCCTACGATATTGTTCTCCTGCTGGAGATTAATGCCAGGTCCTGATGTTGGACTCTCGCTGGGAGTCCACTGTGTCTCTGAAGTGTTACTTTCAGGTATCTTGCAGATAAATGAGAATAAATAGCAAAAAATAATGAAAACATTAATAATTTTTAAATAGTGAAGACAAAGCCCTCTTCTTTTTTTTTTTTTTTTTTTTTTTTTTTTATCCCTCCTCCTTCTGTATAATGAATTTTTGCCGGGAAGCGTACTCCTCATTCTCTCTATTTCACTGGCAAGTGGAAGCTGTTATCCAGGCTGCTTTATCCCACAGTACATCTTGTGATTATAATGAGATCTTAATTGCAGGGATGTCAGAGCAGCACCTGGCGCTCTGTTGTGCAGTGGGCAGGGCTGGGCTGCGTGAGGTTTGGGGAGGTCCTGTGGGCACGTGGAGCCCTGCCATCCCTGCCGTCCCTGCCATCCCTGCCATCCCTGCCATCCCTGCCATCCCTGCCATCCCTGCCGTCCCTGCCATCCCCGCCGTCCCCGCCGTCCCTGCCGTCCCTGCCATCCCTGCCATCCCTGCCGTCCCTGCCGTCCCTGCCGTCCCTGCCGTCCCTGCCATCCCTGCCATCCCTGCCATTCCTGCCATCCCTGCCGTCCCTGCCATCCCTGCCGTCCCTGCCATCCCTGCCATCCCGCTTGTCACGCATTCCTGGAACTGGAGAGCAGAGCCGCAGCAAAGCCAGGCTATGGTATTTATCTTTATTTGTGATTCATGGTTTGTCACTCGGTGCCAGGGAGAGCCGGGAAGCAGCACATGGCAAATGCCAGCGTCTCCTGTCCCGTGGTTCCCCTCTCCTGGGGAGGTGCCACGTTGATGAGGAGCTGCTGGAGGAGTCGGTGGAACAGTGAGGAGCTGAGGGAGCACCCCTGGGGCATGGCACACACAGAGGGCATGGGCTGGGTGTGGTGGGCAAGTCAGCTCCACCCGCTGGCACATTGCAGGTGGGTCTGGGATGGGGTGGGATGGGATGGAACAGAACAGAATATTTTCAGTTGTAAGGCACCTACTAGGCTGATCTAGTCCCTCAGTTTGGTGCTTTAGGAATGCCCAAAGCCAAAGTGTGCCATTGAGAGCATTGTGCAAGTGTCTCCTGAGCCCGGACAGGCTTGGGTCGTGACCGTGTCTGCAGGAGCCTGTTCCAGGCTTGAGCAGCCTCTCAGTGCAGAAATGCTTCCTGAAGCTCCCAGGTTTCCAGGTCCCTGTCCCCTGAGTGCCTGTTCCTCAAGGCAGGGCCGTTTCTGCCCCTCAGTGCGGCTGCCGGAGCCGTGCGGGAGCCAGAGCAGCGGCCGAGCAGGGCTGGGAGAGGCAGCAGCTGTCACCTCCTGCTCCTGCCACCAAAGCTCCGCTGGCGGCTGTGACTCAGGCTCGTAGCAGTCACCCCAGAGAGTCAGCTCTGCTGGCTGTGGGTGAATGGCAGCTTGCTCCTGCCAGCACGCAGAGCGGAGCCTCTGGAGCATACGCAGTTGTTCCAGGCAGGTTCAGGATTTCTATTTCAGGGACAATCACGTATTCTGTAGTGATAAGTTAACATTCTTACTAATCCACTGTGTTGTGCGCTAACAGCAACACACTGCTACTATGATTTTCTTCCTCACATGCTGAGATTGCTTTTGCTTTATTGGGATTGTGTAATCATAGAACCGTTCACTTGCACAGAATTATCAGACTGCCCGCTGAATCCTGCAGAAAATACTGGAACTGGGAAACCAGTTAGTGCATCATCTGAACTTCCCATCAGCAGAACTCTGTATTAATTTATTAAAGTGACATCTCTTCTGATAGGTTCAAGGGCCTGGTGAATATTCATATCTAGGTTTGTTTCCTGCCTGCTGACTTGAGCAGGCTTCCCAGATCACTTGTAGTCATGGATACATGGAAATGACACTTTGGGGTTTGTTTTCTCGGTGGCAATGTCTTTTTACACAATATTCCAAACATTATAACAAAGAATTATCAAAAGCTCTCCTCCTGGAGTGATGGCAGATCCTGAGCACTTGCATGTGGTTTAATTGTCAAGAAAACGCTGCCCTTCCAAGGGGCTCCCTGTAGCTGGGCATCCTCTTGGTGACAGGAGGTCAGCCAGTGGATTCGATTGCACGTGGAAATCATTTGATCTGTTGCTCCAAATGCTTCGGCCAGAAGATTTCAGACAGAATATTTATGAAGCTGAAGCTGTGGTTTTGCATTGCTCACTGCAGCCCCTCTAGTAGGGGTGGTAGGAAAATCCTCAATAAAATCGCTGCTGAAACAAAAAGCCCACAGAGGAGGGAGGTGATGAGGAGGTGACACAGCACCCGTGGAGCTGAGCTCTTCCCCTGGAGACGTGGGAGGCTGTCAAAAGGCTGTGGGGACACTGGTGTCCCCATGGGGTCTGTTGTGGGATCTCCTGCAGAGATCTCCGGCAGATCACAGAGTCATTAAGGGTGGAATAAGATCCTTATCCAAGATCAAGGAGTGCAGCCCTTGACCGACCACCACACAGTCAGCTAAACCAACTAAACCAGCTAAAGGTGGAGCAGTCCTGGTGCTTCTGCCCTTCAGCACCCCCGAGGGACAGAGCCGGGAGTGCAGGGACACACGGGGTACGAGCTGGCCCCGATTCTGTTCTCAGTTTCATTTGGCAAAGTTTTCTGAGCTCTCCTGCAGAAAACGTCCCACAAAAGTGACAATAACAATATTTTGGATATAAGCCTAGCACAAAAGGGTAATAGGAACTCCATGGGCATGCGTGGGCTCTTGATTCATCCTCAGAGATGACAGATGTGCATTTATTTAAGATCTAGGAGTGGGACTCGTAATATTTATAGTGAATTCTTTGTTCCCACTCCTCCTGAGTGATTCTGGTCTCTGTGGCCAGCCAACAGGCTCAGTGCTCATTATTGACCATTTTATGCTGCAAACCCCCAAGCCCATGCCAGGCATTTCTTTTCATGCAGACATCTGGCAAGGAATGCTGAGGGCCCCCTGCATGGTGAGGGTCTCATGGTACATCTGTCAAGGGCTGACAGCGGCATCTGAGCAGGTGGGCTCAGTCCATCAGCAAGCTCCTCCTCACCTTGTCTTCTTTATTTAAAACTGATATTAAATTAAATCACAGCAGTACTTTGGTATAAAAATAATTGTGTTTGCAGCGGCAGCTGATGGAGTCAGTGGCTGAGTGTTACAGCTGCACGATCATCTCTTGTCATCGCTCCTCACGCTGGCTCTGGAAAAAACTATGGATCATGGATCTCTTCCAGATGGGTTTGCACGTGAAGGGAGTGGAGGGCTGTCCCTGTCCTCTAATGCTGTCCTTTGGCAGCACCAACAGCAGCACACCCAGCGCTGGCTGAGCCCAGGGGGCAGTGGGCAGGGGCAGTGTTTGTGGGGCAGTATTTGAGGGGCAGGGGCAGTGGGGCAGTGTTTGTGGGGCAGGGGCAGTGGGGCAGTGGGCAGTGGGCAGTGGGCAGGGCACAGTGTGGGGGAGATCTCACCACGCTGTCCACTCTGCCACACTCGCAGTTTGCCCCTCAGCTCTGTGCAGCTCCCTCTGGATCCACACAGGTCGAAGCTGTATTTTACTTTTTGCTAAACCACTGATTTAGTAACCTCATCCAACCCTCTGCCAGCTCATGAAGAGACTTGAAAGGAAAGCATCTGCTGTCCTGCAGCTTCCCCAGAGGAAAACTTTTAATAAAAGCTTGGCCAACGCTCTGTAGTTGTCTCCCTGCCTTGTTTTAAATGCAAGCTTATTTGTAGTAAAGCATTTACAAATGTAAATTCTTTTTTCTTTACCTTGTAGTGAACTTTGACCACTTCCAGATTCTCCGGGCCATTGGGAAGGGAAGCTTTGGCAAGGTAGGCTTGAGCTCTCAGTCTTGCATGGTTTATCAGGTGTGTGCTGTTATTTACTTGTGGTTTATTGGAACAGTAACGATGCCGAAATTGGCTATTTTTGTATTTTTTTAATGAAGGCTTCTCAGTCAACGCAGGAAAAATGTTCAGGAAAATACCTTGTTGCCATTTGGCTTTGCTGTAATTCTTGGCATCTTGGTGCAACAGATGTGTTGTAAGTTACCAGCACAATTGTGACCATTTTTCAGCGAACATTCTTTATGTTTTCAGTTTCCTGTGGGGATGTCTGGGTTGGCGGGGCAGAGGGCAGTGAGGCAGGAAGGTGCTGAGGTGCTGGAAGGTTCCTTGGTGCTGGATTGAGCTGGCACACAGGTCAGGAGGGTTCTGTGAAGTCCTGGGCTGTTTTCCCAATCAGAAATCAGTTATGCTGAGGAGGTTTTGTTGTTTATTTTTAACTGGCTTTTCTTGCCAAGCATGTGGGAGGATGTGGGAGGTGATGATCAAAAAGCTGTGTATCTCTGGGAGTCAGTTACTGTTGGTTTCCTAGTGTCAGTCCTTTTCCATTCCCTGTGTGGGTGACTCTGGCGTTTGCCCCCTGGTCTGGCAGTGCCAGCACAGTGTCCATGGGATGTCACAGGAGCACAGGGCTGCACGGGGAGCTCTGCAGCCCTTCTGTCACCGTGTTCTGCTGCCAGCCAGCAGCAGTGGTGCCCCCCGTGCAGCCTCACCCACCCGTGTGTGCTGGCTGAGAGCTGGCAGCGGCAGTGCCAGCGATGATCCCGGACACTGCTGGGTCAGGCGTGTCACCTGCCCGGTGACTTGTGTGGAGTGGGGCCATGTGCCAGCACTGGGGCTTTGGGTGGAGACACAGCCATGGAAACAGTGTGAAATGTGCAGTGTCCAAGCTGTGGAAGGGCCCAGCCTGGCTCAGCGGGTGACACAAGTGTCCCCATGCACTGGGGACATCAGCAGGACAGCTGAGTGGTTGGGCAAACTGCACCTGCTCGCGTTTCGCTCCGGTCAGGTCATCTTGGCTGGTTTCTCCCATCACACTGATCAACAGCTGATGCCACAAGGGTGAGAACATCCAGATCTGGCTCTGGAGATGACCCCCGCTGTCCTTTTCCTTCTCCCCCTGTGGTATAGCCTGATGAGGTCTTGTTGCACTGGGCCACAGCCAGGGGAGCAGCCTGACCTGCTAGATTTGGATGGCTGGAAGATGGAGACTTTGCAAAAGCAGAAATTTCCCAGGAGATCTGAGACTTGTTTGGTCAGAAGAACCCAAATTTTTACCAATTACCAAAATCTCTTTTTGAATGCTTTATGTATGTTAAGCAGTTTTGGTGCTGTGTAACAGTAGCAGCACAAAATCAGCCATGGTCTGTATGGGGGGTCCAGCTGTTCTGAGAGGCAGGACAGGGGACACTCAGTCCCAGTGATGCCATCAGTGCTTCTTTCTAGAGATGTTCCCATACAGCCTCAGTTCCCTGATGAACACCAGGAGATGGATTACCCTGCTCTGGCACAACCCACCCACGTGAATTCCTGCTGGGCTTCCATGAAGGTCTGCCTGGGACTTCCAGGGTAATGGAAATGGATTGCCAGCAGTGTGCAAGTCACTGTGACAGTTTGAGGGGGTGGTTTGAAACACTCACCCCTCTTTGCAGCCACATCCCTCGAGCAAGGAGAGGCGAAAGCGTGCAGCAGAGCTCTGTCAGATTTCTGGGCTTCTGTTGAGTGATCCGAATGATTAAATACCAGCTCAGTCCTTGTGCTGTGAGGATAAGGCAAAAAGCTGAAGAAAGTCTCCCCAGACACTCCTGGTGAGAACAGGAACACTCAAGATCTTGTGTCTTCAGCTCACGATCAAAGGCCAAACACTAACTCCAAACCTCAGTGAAAAAGAGCAGCTTGTTTTGAGCTGATAGAAGATTCGTACTTCACATGTAAACTTTCCAGACAAGGAGGTTTTATTCTTTTAAGGAGCAGCAGCTGGAATTAATTGTGCTCAGAACATGAATCAGAGAAAACCCAGTTTTTGTCGCAGGGCAGGAGTCTGTTGGCTCTGCAGAGAGCTGCTCCCTGTGGCTGCTCCCTGCAGCTGCTCGCTCGGCGCTCTGCGTTGCAGAAAGGTTAAGTCTGGCACGGAGCAGTCTATCAGGCATCAGAACTGCACACACACGTTCAACAAAATGCTGAAATGATTCATCTGTCATCTTTCTGGATGACTTTGTCAATATGCTGAATTTCCTCTGACACTGAGAAAAGCTTTTTGCGTATACCAAGTCATTTACAACTCACATTTAATTACAGAAAACATAAAACTGCCTACCTGGCAAGTGTTACTAAAAATTTAGGAGTGACTTAGTTGGTTTGCTTGATTAAACCACTGTCTGGCCACGTTCAGGAAGATATTTAGGAGCCAGTGTCCGAGTAGACCCTCGGTGTGTGAGTGACCTGTGGGAGCTGTGGCACCGTGTGATCCCATGGTGGCAGGACAGGGATGGCCTGGGGTGGCCTTGGGAACAGCATTTCCTTCCACGGTCACTTTGTGCACCCCTCAGGACAGACTGTGACATGCTCGGTGTGGGAACTCTAGGAAAGGAAGGAAAAAGGAACTCAGAAATTCCTTTTGAAGAGCCTGAGAGCCCCAGAGCTGTGGCTCTGGCATATCTTCAATAAATGGCCAATTTCTGTTTTCTAGAGATGGGTTTAATGAGCCTTAAGATACAATTAATCAAACGAAGGTCAGGTTCAATTCCATGTTTATGCCAATTAACAAGTGTGGAATATTTTCCACACATAGTAGAGGTGATATTATTTGATTTTCAGTGATGTAATATCAGCATAGTGTTCCTCCTGCAGCACAGGCTCCTTTCCAGGCACCAGCAGCAGCTGCCCAGGTTTTGGCTGCTCTGATGCCATTTCCTGAGGAGCAGCAGCCAGGAGTGGGTTTCTGGAATGGGGTGCAGTTTGTGGCCCTGTTTTTGTGGGAAATATGCTCTGAGGCTCATTGTGCTTCATGAGAGCCAGCATGAGAGCCAGAGATCTCTGAAGGCAGAGGTGGCATTGCAGGACCGGGACCTCTGCCTGTTTTAGTTGGCCTCTTGTGCCTTCAGTCCCCGTGAGGCAGCTGCTGTTTGCTCCTGACCTCCTCCTCCTCCCACCTGTTGGGGTGGCCTTGGGCACAGCATTTCCTTCCACGGTCACTGTGTGCACCCCTCAGGACAGACTGTGACATGCTCGGTGTGGGAACTCTAGGAAAGGAAGGAAAAAGGAACTCAGAAATTCCTTTTGAAGAGCCTGAGAGCCCCAGAGCTGTGGCTCTGGCATATCTTCAATAAATGGCCAATTTCTGTTTTCTAGAGATGGGTTTAATGAGCCTTAAGATACAATTAATCAAACGAAGGTCAGGTTCAATTCCATGTTTATGCCAATTAACAAGTGTGGAATATTTTCCACACATAGTCGAGGTGATATTATTTGATTTTCAGTGATGTAATATCAGCATAGTGTTCCTCCTGCAGCACAGGCTCCTTTCCAAGCACCAGCAGCAGCTCCTCCTCCCACCTGGGCTTCCCTCGTGGTGCTGCAGCCCAGCCCCAGGTGCCTTTTCCAAGGGATAAGGAGCTGGATGGGGCTGTGGGAATTCATCATTTGCACTTCGCTGCTGAGAAGAAATAAAAGCACGTCTGAAGTTTTTCAGCGTGGATTTGTGCTTTTGATGCCATTGGAAAGAGGGGATTAAACCAGGGCTGGGGCTGGAAGGAGCAGCAGCAGGAAATGGAACCTTCAGAGGGAACCAGTATACCTGGGGTATGCCTGTGGGGGCCTGGCTTGCAGTTTGCTCCAGAGGGGCTGGGGGTCCTGCTCCCTGTGCCCAGCTCCAGTGAGCCTCCCAGGGAGCGCTGGCTGTGTCTGGGTTGCTTTGCACAAGTTCTTCAACTTCATGATTTTGTTGCTTTAATAATTCATGCAGTCTGGAGCTGGGTATAGAAAGGCTTTAATCCATTTTCTAAAGGTCACAGATGCCCACCCAGTAGCTGCACCATAAATAAAATTCCCTTCAAGTCTATTCTCAATTGAATCCCTCTTTGACATCAACACTAGCTTGATCCATTTTCTTTTTTTCCAGCTTTATAAATGTTGGATTTGTCCCCCTAAAGAAAGGCTGCAAAGTTAATCCCTTGGTATTTAGCTGCCACACATTTTTTTTTGCCCTTGATTTTTCCTTTATTGTCCTTGATCTCACCTGAGGCTGAGGGTTTACTGGAGCCACCAGCAGGGCTGGACAGAGGCTGTCCCTGCTGGACACTGCTCCTGTCACTCGAGCACACACCATGTCACTGGCAGGCTGTGGAGCCAGGGCTGCCTTGGCTTTGTCAGAGGGCAGCCTGGTTATGGAGAGGCACAGCGTGAGGGGTGTCTGGGGGTGCTGGGGTGCTGGAGAGCTGCTGGTGTGGGGCCATCCAGTGCTGCTCAGGCCCCATCTTGCCCGGCCCCCGAGGCTGCCCAGGGAGTCCTGCAGGATGCAGGAGATGGGGACCTGCAGCAGGGGTGATGTGAAGGACATTGACACCGGGGACAGGTTCATCCCCAGAGGCTGCTGGCACTGCCCAGGCTCTCCAGGGAATGGGCACAGCCTCGAGGCTGCCACAGCTCCAGGAGCATTTGCACCCTGCTCCCAGGGATCCCAGGGTGGGATTGTTGGGGGGTCTGGCAGAGACAGGAGCTGGACTCCTTGTGGGTCTTTTCCAGCTCAGGATATTCCATGATTGTGGGATTGTCTGATTTCACAGCATGTTCCACCACTGCATCCAGCACAGGAGCAGCTGCCTGGCTGGGGACAGGGACCAGGAGCAGGGGGTGAGAAAGCACAGAGCACACACAGGGGGATCCTCCCTCTGATACCATCTCCCCAGCAGTACCAAGTGATTTATCTTCTTTCCTGGATGTTGCTAAGCTGTGAGAGTGTCGTCGGTAAAAGCCACGGGAGAGAATGG